CAAAATAGGACTAAAATTCAAAATTATTTCCAAAAAATACAATTTTTTGCAAATTTAACCCAATAAATATTAGAAGCTGTTTTCAATACTGAATATATGTAATTCTTCTCAACATGCTATCAATCTGTTTTGTATCACATTTCTGACGTTCTTCGGTAAATGGGGTTTATTTATAGGTAAATAAGGAGTTTATGAATAGGAAAATCAAAAATAATCCGTTACCGATTGATATTATATTTTACCAAATTTTAATTGGAAAAAGCATTGACTATGGAAATAAGTACGGTTCAAGACCATTTATAATTCCCTGAAAAAAAATTATGCCACCATTTCTGCACGGTCCTTCTCCCTTAAGGCGTAAAAAAATTCTGATTCTTCATCTCCTTGTTAAGTCCTCTGACCGACTTGTGCTGCAATCCATCTATTCATCCATTTCCTGTCGCCACTTTCTCCACTTTCACTTCCCCTTCTTCTTCTCCCTAAACTCTAATCCTACTCAAAATACGGAACATTGCGAAAAAGAAGAAGAACTCGAGACAGGAAATAAATTCGCAGTTTGAATTCCTCTCCGTTTTCGCACTCCAACACCAAAACGACGACTTTACAAGAAGAGAAAAAGAAGGGGACACAAAGCGATAAAAGAAACTGCACCAATTTTCCTGCTGGAAATGGCAAGGAAATTTCGTGTAGTAACAGTTAGTGTGCAATCCATCGGATCGGAATGAAAACTAGGGTGCTGAATGGCTATGTAAAATAATGTGTATTGGGAGGCACACTTAAAAATTTTAGGGACAATGTAAACCAAATTGGGAAGAATATTGATATCGGAAAACGTGTCACGTGTCATTACAAAAAGTTAATAATTAATAATCAAATATTGGAAAATTTGAATTTGCAAGTAGCAGATGACAATCTGCTACAAAATACATTTGTATTTAAAGTAGCGAATTGGAATTTCCTCGAAGTAAATCTTTTACGCAACTAGTTTCAAAATTTTTAACAAAACAGGAGATTGGTATCGAAATTAGACAAATTCATAGCACAGAATTTATTGCAAATTATCAACACCCGGTAATTTTGCAATTTACCATTTCCCTGTAAAATTACTATCAGTTAACTCATCTGCTAATTCTCTACCCCAATTTTCTTCCCCCTTTTCTAAGAGTGTCCATACAAGGAATCGTCAAAGTGCATGTAAACCAGTCATGTACATCTTTTTTTGAATTGTGCCCATCTCCTCAAACAGACCTCCGCATTGAACTCATGTCATTCTCCTTCGATCCGGGAGAATTGGTCCCTTAAAACAAATGTCGGGTTGCAAATTAGAATTCCGTGAAGCCCTTTCAACCCGGGAGATGGAATTAAGGAGTGTATAATTAATGTTCTGTGAGCCGTTAACTGTGCCAAAAAAGAGGACCTTTCACTGATGTGTTTGAGGAGAGTGGAAAGCTAAAGTTCGAACAGCGTGACTTTCTTTTCCGTGGAGCCGAGAGAAAGGAAAAGAGCGCGCTGTGTGTTTCCAGGAATTGGAGAAAGTTCCCGAGGGAGTGATAAAAGAGGAAGAGATCGACTCTGCATGAGAGGTGGTTAGCAGGATGGATGTCCGTTTAAAAAAGTGGTAGTTTCATCGTCTTTTTGGGAATTATTGAGTGTATCGATTAACCGTAGTGGGACATATTTGCGGACAAAATGGCACAGTGTTAACGTAATTATTGGACATTTTGCGAGATTTAAGGAAACGTTTGTTTGAAAATGAGAGGGATTTTATTCGTAACGATGACCAGGAAATACGCATGTTTTTTGACAAGATTATTTTACAAAATATTCCTTAACTGGGTCATCTAAGGGACATATTTTACATGTTTACTGATACTTGTGGTATAAATTTTGAAAACATCATGCATACTTACACTTTTATAAAAATAAACCGTAGTAACGTTAGAAGTAGCTCACCCTGGAATAATGATTAGGATATAGTTTTGCACCAAGGGTGCAAAATAAGCGGACAAAATGGATGCATAATTTTCATATAATTTTGCACCAATGGTACAGAATAAACGGGGGATAACAGAAATTTGATATAATGTTGCACCAATGGTGCAGCCGAAATGGTTAAAATTGGGACTAAATTTTGACACGATTTCGAGGTTAAGATATGTCAGCCAAGACTGACTAGAACTTTCAGTCAATCCTAACCATTAGTGCGGAATACATCGATTCCTTCAATTATTTCGCACCATTTTGCGTTAACGATTGTTTGATACGAATTGTGCTACAAATTAGGGTTAAAATGGTCGTGGGACTTATTAATTAGCATCAATTGATGCAAAAAACTCGTGAACAGACAGACAGACGGACAAGAGGAATTCAATAGCTCTCATGCTACGCAGGGTGAGCTAATAAAGAGGTTTCCTTGATCTATGTAGGTTTGGGATAGATTTAATTGTTGCTTGATTTTCTCTTACAGTCTTCGCAAAAGTTCGCATAATCTGATGACCAAATACAATCTTGTTTGTTCAAAATAATCAAATTTTTGTTTCTTAAAAGTTATGGCGTACTAGTTATTCAAATTTCAGAAATATTGAAAATTAAGAAAATAATTAGGAATCGGGAAATTCTATCTTGAAGAAACTCCAACTAATAATATGTGCTGTTAGTAAATTCCATTTCATACTTTATTGTGAGAGATATAACCAAAATACAAGGTTAGATACAAGTTGGAGATTTTCAGAAAAATCAGTCGTAAAAACGACGCACCATTTTACAATCACTGGAAATCCCTTACATCAGTGTAGATTTAGGAAAATTACGCAACTTGATTTTCCTTTGCAATCTTGGCAAAATTATAGGAACAATTGTTATTCAATTTTCGTAAAGTACATATTTGACAAAGTTAACATACATAAGAATAACTAAAAAATAGTCCAAGTACGGAAGACGTTTGCCCAATATTTACAAAACGTCGTAACTCTTATCATGTTATTTTTCCTCCTTGGTGGGAATACTGTTGACCCGAATTCGCAGTTTATTTCCTCCCCGACCGAATTTTGCAGTCTTTCTCTCTCAGTAAGTAAGATGCATGCGGACATGTTTGTCGGTTTGGTGCATGACTTGGCTGGCTCTCATTTTATTTTTCGCATGATGTAAATACTGCGATCAAACTGGTCCCAGTGATTCCCCGTTCGGATCCCAGTTTCACAACATTTTACTTATCCTACTGCGGAAGAATGGAACAAGAACTCTTAAAAATTCGATGGTAAAGAATTGGGTAAAACAATTTTGGTAAGAGTTTGCGGTCGATTTGATGAAAAAGTAGTTGCATATTGTAGGATAATTGCATACAAGGCTTTGTTTGGCGTGAGTATGGTAATAAATTGGGAATAATTTGTGAACGGTGACAAATTTTAATCGTCAGATTCATTGTCAGCAATAGTTTCTTAATGATTTGAAACTCTAAAAAATTCGATGCTAAAGATTTGGGGTCGATTTGGTAAACAAGAAAGTGTTTGATATTTACCAATAATAACTACAGGTTGCTGAGCATAGCTTGAAATAAAACTCCGTTGGGTTGATGAGTAATAAGTTGTGATCCGTTTGGTCACAAATTTGAATGAATTATCAACCGGACTCGGTAATAATATGGTTTGATTTTTAAAAGAAGACACCTGCCTGCCATAAGCTTTGCAATGAAAAAAAGTATTTTCTTTAAAAAATCAAACAATTCATTAAGGTTCGTTAACGACGTGATTTTAAATTTGGAGGTATAATCCAATAAATTTTAAACTCGATTTGCATATTATTATGCCGTCCAAATGATGATTTCATCCAATAATATAAACTTTTTGGACTTGTCAAATTTTCAAAAACATAATTTATCAACAGATTACTTTTTAGAGTGCCTCTTTCTCGTTGGACGCGCTGGGGTGTAAAAGCCGATGGGATCAGGATCGATCTCTCCATATATTCATCCCTTCCTCCATACTTTCTCCACTTTCTCCTTGATTTCGGTTTGGCACCCAGCCACCCAAACCACACTTCCCACCACCACGACTTTGAGGGCGAGAAGAGGCCCAAAATACGTGATTGTCTTGCACACGATGAACACTTTCTGGCGAAATGGCACATCATATCTATCATTCTCTTCACGAGATGCTTCCTACTTTGGCACTTGCCTTCTTCGCCACTTGCTAAATTAAAGGGGGTCCTGGGTCCTGGTCTTCCTGGGGGAAGCTAGAATGGCTCCTAAATTAAACCTTATCATCAAGTTGAGATGAGGAAGGAAGGAAAATGTGGCGGTGAAAGTATGGATGTGTTTTAGGCGAATAGAGAGAAAGAAAGAAAGCAAAGTCGATTTTGTATTTTTGGGAAAAATTTATCGTTGTTTTTACTATTTTTTGAACTAAAATATGAGAAATAAAATAAAATAGAGAATTATCTTCGTTGTCAAAAGTTGCACTTTTTACGAATTTCACAGTGCTTACAAAGTTATCAAGTACAATTACTACATCCAAGATTTGAAAATTAAAATCAAACAAAACAAAACAAAATTTCATGAATATTTGTACAATGGAAATAATTTTCGGAATCTACGACATTATTATTTTTTCGATAATTCCGAAAAACAAGACTGGCGTATTTACGGTACATTTTGATAAAAAGCGTAATTATTGCTATAATATACAAACAATATGTTAAATTCAAGCTTGTTACTAGACCAAACATATTCAAGATTTAGGAATATAAAACTGTGCAAATTGAGGGTACAACAAGGAACGAATTTTAGCATTCTTCGGCAGACTTTGAGTTTGACTTTTTTCTTTAAGTTTAACAAATTCAGTATTAAATTCGACCGTTGATGAAATATGGATTCAATTTTGTGTCATTTTATAAAAATTATGCTAGAACATTACTCGATGTGTCATTTCGCTGTATGATTGAACTCGTCAAAATATATATTTAAATGCTCGAATATACCATTTGAGTTTAAAAATTCGCCTTACCTTCGAGTTTGAGGGTGGAAATTCTGGTCTCCAAATGTCTCAAAACCGTGGATGGGACGCTTTCGATGAAATTGTGACTCAAATCGAGCACAGCAAGGCGAGCCAGAGGTCCAAATAGCTCCGCAGGCAAGCCAGTCAGCCAATTCCCACGGATTCGCAGAGTCACGAGAGAGATTAAATTGGCAAAGGTTTCCGGGCTGAGTCGAGATAATTGATTGAACGAGAGGTCCAAGTCCTGGAAAACATAAATGCATTTATTTTTAGATGTAATTGATGGAAAGTGAACGGAATCAGATAAATTATGAACTTTCTTTTAATTCAAATTTTGGAGAGAAACGCGGACAATCATTCATTTTAATCTAGCAATAAGACACTTTATGAATATTATGATTTTTGATTAATTTTTGAAACATGAGAGTTTACACATAACGTAAACACCTCGATGTTTTTGATATTTGCGAAAACGTACAAACCTTGGTAAAGTACGAATTTTCTAATTGAAAATATAGCAATATAAGCATTCGATTTGCATTCTCTACATTAAAAGTGTTGGTATTTATTTAATACTATTTATTTTTGTAATTTAAGAAATAAGACGCCATTCAGAAAAACTTTAAAATTTTTAGATTCAAGTTAATTATAGATTCCTGATATATTACTGGTGACGACTGACGCTGTTATATAAATATGTATCAGTAGAACATATCTAACAATTTTCCACATGTGAACAAACTATAGGATTTATGTTTTTTTGTTCCTGCGATTTCAAAAATTAAGTCACAAAAAATTGCGTGAAACATGATACCCGTTAAATTTAAAATTCCGATGGGATACAAGAAAAGTGTGTGCAAAGTTTTCAATTTATTTACCCTGAACACAAAATATGCGTTGAAAAATGTCCGATAAAAAACTTTATCTGAATCAAAAACCTAAAATTTCTGAATATCATATCTCATAATTGCATTAAATATCTGCAGCGTAAATGTCTTGCAAAAAGGGTTATCTGATTTGTTTCATCTCGCCCATGTTACGTTCAAAATATGACCCTATCAAAAAGGCGCATATGTTATTTTCAACTTTAATAAATCATTAATTATTTGTAGGAAATGAAACAATTTACGTTTCAGAGAAATTCCAGGAATAAATTTTTGTAAAGGCAAAGCTTGAAGGCTTAGGAAACCGAGACCAAGAAACTCCATCAATTATACATTTCCTTGAAATGACGGGTGAAAACCGTGTGTGCATAATTGCACTGTAAACAATGTGGTAGTAACAAACCATACGATTCGACCGATCTGGTAATAATTTCCTAAGCTAGCCAACTGTCCACGAAATTCAAAATTGACCTGAGTCCGCATGCAATTTATGAGGAATTTGAATTTCATGAATAATTTTTAAACAGAAAATTGTTACCAAACCGGTGTACTGCGCCCTCCTGTCACAATTAAATCAGTTACATTCGTGGCACGAATGAACATTTCGCAGTTTGTTACTTAAAGTTATTTCAATTCAAAATTCTTATGTAACGGGAATTTCATTTTGATAAAATACTAAAACAGTAACAATAATTGTCACAAAATTCAAATTTATTCTTAGGTGAAGGAAAAGTAACCATAAGGTGATCATGTTAAAAGATCACCATGGTTACGGCGAAGCCTAGGTATGCAATCAGCTGCAACTTTGAAAAGGTCGCACTGAGATTTCGCCCAAACCGTTCGTTGCATGGAAAACATGCTGAAACAAAAAAACCAGAGAATTCTGTTTTACAGATACGTTTTTTTTATTTTTTCAAAAATTCTAATTCCTTCAGGTAGAAAGTCCGATGCTTAAAATTTCAAATCCATTTCTTGGCATCAAGGAAGTGTTTCCGACCGGGGGCTTGCCATTTTTATTATTCTCCAGGATAATACGCAAATTGTAAGCCTTTGTTCGACTTAATCGGATCAAAACTGACGGAATTAGAGCTTTTTGAAATATTTGCATTAGGCAACCTATTTACGTGTTAAGTTACTGGTCGCTAACGTGCGGTGATAGTTTATTCAGCATCGCTATTCAATACTCAACATATCCAATGTTGCTAGACAATCGAATTACGTTATTATTAGATCGCTAAGTGTCAAGGCATCCTTGACAGAACAGAACAATCCTTAAAATTTTGAAACTGGGGGATTAAATTGGCATGCCACGCATCCACACCCACTGCGGAATTAAATTGGTATGCCAAGCGTCCACAAACAGGAGAATTAACAACGTTTAAGATTTTATAATTGCATATGATTTTATGCATATAAGTTCACAAATCACTAAAAATAATTAAATAAATAAATTTTAAAAAACAAACTTAGGTGAAGGACGCGCTTAAAATATTAAAACAAGAAGCATTAAAAAATGTCATAAATCGCTTAATATTTATTAACTTTTACTTCACCGGGGGCCCAACTGTTAAATTTTCAAAGCAATGATAATCAATAATAAATGTAGCTAAACCAACGACTTGATTAAATATGAAGGGCAGCATTACAGAAGTTATTAAAAATACGCCAGAACATGAGCAAATTTCCTCTATAAGAGGTGTCGCGATTTATTGAAAGATAATCATTCAAATCTTGCAAGTTTAATATACAAATACATATTACGCATTTCGTATAATTGTTCCAAATCCTTGAAAGTATACCTTTTTTCCTGTGTTAGTTGGGCCCCCGGTGAAGTAAAAGTTAGTAAATATTAAACGATTTATGACATTTTTAATGCTTCTTGTTTTAATATTTTAAGCGCGTCCTTCACCTAAGTTTGTTTTTTAAAATTTATTTATGTAGTTATGGATTGATTCCAGTGCAAGAGTAAATCGAATTTACTGCTCAATTTGAGTTACACAATCGGTATCACATCGGCTTTAAAGAGGTCAACACAGTTTCGATGCCGAATTATTTCCAGTGCACTAAAATTTAGCACAATGGCTGCCCTTCCATTTGAAACGTGAATATTATGATTTCAGAAATATACGCATATTTATTTGGTTCCCAGTTCTGTCAGAGTCAAGCGCAGTAATGCCACTCAAGTCAGATTTGGAAAGAGAGAAAGCGAGAGAATTTACCATCCTCTTCTGTAATTAATTAAGCATCTTGATGATTAATTAATGCCACTTCTGTCCGAAACGGGGACTGGCAAAGAGTTCTTGAAATTGGTGAGTGGTTTCTCGTCAGCGGGAATGTATTTCCTTCAAGAACAAGTAATTTTCTTCGATTTTCAAAGGCTTTAAAAATTTTGAGAGATTTTGACGTCGTATGATTTGCATACGAAGAAAATAAATACTTATGGGAATATAAGGTGCTTGTCTTGTCTTGGGAAGTCGAACCTAATAGTTTAATGTTGAATAAACACCTACACTAATTGAAACCTGGTACACTTACACAGGTGTTGATTTCTCGTTGTTAAAGTTGCTATTGGAATTAAAATTATACCGTTTCGTAAAATTAGCTACCGATATGAGAAAACACTAATACTGAGCTATTGCTACGTGGAATTACTTATCAATACCACTTTGGTAGAGTCATGTATTGTATGAATACAACTTGGCATTATTTTAATAGCAGATTTCTAACAGTATAAGTCATATTTTTAATGAAGTTGAGAAGAAAATTATTATTTAATCTTTTCAGGCTGAAATTGTTGGAGGTTGACGATATTTAAAAATTTTTGTATTTTGGGTTAATTTGCACTAATATTTAGGTTAATGTGAAATCCACGTCAAATTTGAAATGGAGGATCAATTATTGTATATTTTTGCACTTGAAATGGAGGATCAATTATTGTATATTTTTGCACTTGAAATGGAGGATCAATTATTGTATATTTTTGCACTCATGTTGCATTTTGTTGCTGGTGTAGCGAAAAATATCATTTTAACCTTGCATAATTTTCTTATTAATTGATGTTACAAATGTCTCTGAAATGGAAAATTTGGAAAATTCCCTTGAAAACGAGACTATAAAAATCTGCCCACTTGTAACACCCAACTTTTACTCACTCTTCGACTAAAGTCCCTATTTTAACTAATTGTAATCTTTTATTGAATTACAGACGCAACACTTTGGAAACTTTGCAATTGTTATTGTTCGAGGGATCCAAAGTGAAGTGGAAGTGAAAGTGGGGAGAGAAGCACGTGTGCACTTAAAAAGGAATTTATTACAAGAAAGTATTCATTTCTAGACACAAACACTCTTACAAATGTGCTAATAGATTGTAACCGAATATGCGAGGAAGTCGAATTAAATAACAATTTTTATAAAACATGAGTAATTTGTTAACTTGTAATATTTTTTATGATAGGATTACAGCTTTTATTTTATAAAAATAAGCATAATACTTCGCTTACAACATAGCTGTTCAAACCACAGTGTGGATCCACAAAGTGGACTGTGGTGTGGAAAGTGGACACGATATTTTTGTGGTTTGTGGAATTGTGGATTGTAGTTTGTGGAAGGGTTTGTGGTTTGTGGAATTGTGGATTGTAGTTTGTGGAAGGGTTTGTGGTTTGTGGATTTGTGGATTGTAGTTTGTGGAAAAGTTTGTGGTTTTGTGGATTGTAGTTGTGGAGTCCATAACTACAATCCACAAAACCACAGACTGGTCCACAATGTGGACAGGTCTGTAGTTTATAGTTATGGTTAAGTTTTGAGGCATTCTTGTGAATGATATAGCCTTAGGTAAATAGTTAAACACACGTTTCATGATTTTTCAAAATGCACACTGAAAACCATGTTATAATCCGTAAGCGGGAATTTGGATCTTAAAATTTCGCTGTAAAAATGCGAATTGTCGCTCACGTATAACGTTATAACTTCGTTGCAACTGATCATTATGAAAAATTCTGAAACACGTGTTTAATTATGTATGTAATTACTAGTAATTAGCATATGTAGCTGTGCAAACCAAAGTGTGGATCCACAAAGTGGACTGTGGTGTGGAAAGTGGACAAGATTTTTTTGTGGTTTGTGGAATTGTGGATTGTAGTTTGTGGACAGGTTTGTGGTTTGTGGAATTGTGGATTGTAGTTTGTGGAAGGGTTTGTGGTTTGTGGAATTGTGGATTGTAGTTTGTGGAAAGGTTTGTGGTTTGTGGATTTGTGGATTGTAGTTGGTGGATTGGTTTGTGGATTGTGGTTTTGTGGATTGTGGTGAGATGAAATGAACAGCTATGGCTTACAAGGAGCTAATCTTAAGTTTTGTCACCCGT